CCAACCTCCCTCCCCCCAAACCCCCTTTCCCTGCACCCCCCCTCCTACAATCCCCTTCCACCCCTACCCCCAATGCCTGGGTTCCCCCACCATTTGGTCTACCCCTCCACTCTACACACTTCAAACACCAACCCACAGACTACAATCCCTCTCCTTTACACCTACACCCACCTAGACTAAAAACAACTGCCAACTCCCCACGCTGCCCCTCTCGAGGGAAATCCCAAAGCCTACCAACAGACTACCCATGTCCTTAACCAATCTGTCCGCTAACAATTTTCCCCCTTTTAAAAATTACCCCTCCTTCCTGCTTCTCTTCTAACCCCCTACAACCTCTACCCCTCCCTCTCTCCCCCCCCCCCCCACTTCCACCCACCACTCTCCTCCTCCCTACCCCTCTTCACTACTTACCCCCCTACTGCTGCTGCTACGACCACCCTCCCCCGACCCCCTTACCCACCCCCTCATCCCCAACCAACTTCCGCTTCCTTACCCAGTACCTAGTTTTCCCTTCCTCATCCCCTACCAAAGCTTCCATTCCTCTCATCTACCTTTCCCCCACTCCCCACCACAACCAAAAACTTCACCCAGGCCCAACCCACCTCCTCCAACAAAATCCACCAAACCCAAACCTCCCCAACTTCTGACAGACATAAAAAGAACATAAAAACAATCCAATTTTCCTCCCCCTCCGGAAACGGGTCCAAAACACCTAAAAAACCCGCACCCACTATGGCACCACTATCCGGGTTTTAATCCAAACTCCCCGACATTAACTTTCATGACGAAACCATTAAACAGTTTAAAGTGATTCAGTTTAACGACGTTCTTTTTTACAATAGACACCACTGGGCCCACTCCTTGAAGCAAGAGACCCCAAAAGTTTTTTCTAAACAGTCCTGCCCCCAAAACCCCCAAAATACCGCCAAAATGGTTATACGCACTACATCCCCCCCCATGATCCCCCCCATGGGGGTTTCCATCCTTGTCAAACCAACAAAAACAAACTCTCCCCAACCCTTTTTTTTCACCAACCGTCTTGCAGTCAGAAACACACCCACCTTGCCCCCTTTTTCTTTTCACCACCTATCTCGCCCAAAAACTATTCTCAACATACACACCTTTCCTTTGTCTTCAACAAAACCCAAAAACCAACATCCCACTAGCGACATGAACCCAAAACCCCCCTTTCATCACACCAGTAACAACCAAATTTGGCACCAATTTCCAACTTTACTAACCCTAAACACCTAATTCACTCGGGCCCCAAATTCAATACCTTCTTCAATCCCGGCCAAGGCAAACCGACACCATTTTGGCAAACCCCAGCCCTTTTTCTATTTCAACACTACTCTCACCTGGCCCATTACAGGCTCTGTCACTCCAGTCATCTTGCAATCTCCCCAACCCCATCCTCATCCAACCACACCTTCCTTCTCCTACAAGAACGCGACTGGGATGCTTTCAAACAACACATAGACAATATAACCTCACCAGACAAAACAACAAACCTATCTCTGACACGATACTCAAATTTAAATCCATCCAGGAAAACCATTTAAAAAGCAGCCAACAACGCAAAACCAAAGAAAACCACACCACCGTTATCCTTCAAACTGTCACTCAGAAAAAAAGACTAATTTTCTGCTACCACAACCGCTTCCTCTACAACACACACAGATTTAACAAGTTCGTTATCCATTACCTTTAAAAAAACTTCACACGTCAGACCAAACCCAACAACCGGTCACACTCATACAACAACGAAAACAGCTATTAAAAACACTAAAGCCTTCTGGGAAATTTATCAAAAAAAAAAGCACTACTCCCACCAACCCAAAATTCAAACACACACCCACAAAAACACACACATCTCAGACCCGCAGGCTGCTACCAACATCTTTAAACACATCTGGGGGGAAAACTTCCACCCTCACCGACCTCACCCTAACTTATTTAAACATTCAGAAAATGAGAAAAAAAACACATAGCATAAAAGTGATCCTTTTTTGACAACGTTTTTACCCACACATGGGCTTTTCAAGTCACACACAATCTACCTGGGGGGGAAGGGCGGGAGTATTTATAGTCATGTTTAAATGTTGAGTCAGGGGGAGAATGCGCATCTGATGATCACCCCGGTGGAGTTATAGAGTCTTGGGGAGCTTGGGTGGGGTGAAACGGTCATAAAGGATCACATTATACTGCACAGTGTTTTATATTTCCCCTTTGTCGGGATTTGATACCCTTTATTTCCAATTCAAACAAGAACATTGGAAAATGCACACACACAAGATACAACACCCAAAAGCCACATTCATCTAGACTCTCTTACCTCCTCCCAAGAAAATACACTCCTTCACCCCCAAAACAAACATTAAAACTCCCTCAACACCTTCCTCCCAAGGGTCCGGCGCCTCTGGGCCCAAACCATTTTGTCCCAAAACCCTTCCTAACTCTATCATTACTGCCTACACAAACCCCTCAATGCCTCCCTTGCCCCTGGTACTTCCCTTCCCCCTTCAAAGCTGCTAAAATGATCCCCTTCCTAAACCCAAAAAAAACACCGATCCTAGAAATTATCCCCATCAGCCCCCGAAACTTTGGTAAACTCTTTAAAAACCATCAACCATCGCCCTTTCCCGATACCTGGAACCAACTCTCTACTTCTGATGGTCCCTTTGGCTTCAGAACACACAGTTCCCCCACAAATGCCCTTAACATCATTCTCAACTACATCCACATAAACACAGAACAAAGAAACAGGGCACCCTGGTTGCAAAAACTTGAAAAAGCTTTTGACACTGTCTGCACCAAGGCCAAGTACAAACTCTGCCTAACTTTAACCTCCTCTCACACCCTAAAATCCTCGCAACTTCCAGACGGCCCCTACCAGAGAATCAAATTTCCCAAAGGCTGTACTCTGACCTTTACACTAAATGCGGAGTACCCCAGGGTCTGTCCTCTCCCTACCCTCTACATTTTTTACACTAACGACTTTTCCCAAAACCCGATACCAAAACTCCCTCACATTTCCTAGCAACGACATTACACAACTTATCACCCATGCCAATATAGATCCCTCACACCCAAAAAACACAAAATGAGGTCGACAGAAAAAAAAAATGGAGGATCAAAACCAAAGCAGCTAAATCCACATTACTATTTTAACTACAGAAAACGTGATCCTCCATTACCTGTCGACTCAGAACAGCTGACAAAAACCCCCACTTACACCCCCGACACAATCTTCCGTCCTTGGGGTTAAACTTGACTACCTTCTACCTTACACGGACACATTCACTCAAGGCATGCAATGCTAGTAAGGCCCTTCGGGCCTCTACAAACAAACATCCTCCCAAAGGCCCAAAAATACACCCTAAAAAATCCCCTTTTACTCCCGGGTAACTTACCCCTTTCCCCTACCCTTTCCTTGCAGCAAAAACAAACTTACTTTAAAAATGCACGTGCCAAACAAGGCCGCGGGGTCTTGATGTCAGAGGGGGATTCGCCCAGCGAGTCTCTACATCCCCTTAGCATCCCCGCGCTAATCTGTACTGAAACGCTCATGACAAAAATTAAAAAAAACTCTGACAACAACTACGGACCTCTCCCTTGCAAGACATTTGCAGACCCACAAACCAACACAACCTTTTTACTCCTGCATGATCCTCCCTAACCCCATTTTCATATAACCTTGGGTTCTCCGAGAGGACCTTTTAAAACCCTTTTGCCACGTTCGCCTTAAAAACCCTTTGGGGAAAACATGGCTCAGTTCACACTCCTCTCTAGCTCTAAACCGCAGTCCCTTCCTTCCCGTCACCCCACCGGGACCAACGAAGAGCTAAAATTTCTCTTTCAATTCTGTCCCAGATCGCCTCGCTGCGGGGTTAAGCCCTGGCTCAATTCTACACTAAGAACACCCCTCTCCAGCACTGTTTGCGTCCCGTTTTCCCGCTCTCCCTTTGGGGGATCTTACCTGAACTTTTTTTCGTTCGTTCGTTTTTTTCGTTATGTGACTTTGAAAAATGGTCCAAGTGGACGAAACGTCGTCGTACCCCTTCTTCTATGTGCGGGTTATTTGTTGTATTATTAGGTTGTAATATTTGTACATGTACCTGTAAAAATAATTTTTTTTATTATTATTTTCGAACGTGGAGTGTTGCACAAAAATTTTGAGGGCGTAATACAAGGGGGAAAATGGGCTAATCGATTTTAATTTTTGAAAAACAAACACACAAAACAGTTTAAAAAATCAAAATTCGCCCCCCAAGCATGGCCCTGGACCCTTACTGTTTTTTTATTCTCATAGCGGAAATGATAAAAACACTTCTCAAATATTGACATTTGCAAAGTCCCAAAAATAGGCAAAAGATCACCCTGGAAGAAGACACAGAAAAACTGCAAGAAGGTAGAAGATAGGTGCCTCGCAGCTCGATTGCTAGCGAACTCAGCTCACTCACTGAGGTCTGGGAGTCAATCCCCAGTACGGATGGAAACATCAGGACGTGTTTCCTAAAGGCACCTACTGTCAATGTTCACCTTTCAGTAAAATAGGTACCTGCGTGTTTGTCGACTGGTGTGGGTCGCATTCTCGAGACAAAACTGACCCAATTTCCCCGAAATGCTCTACATAACAAGGGGCTTTCTATATAGTAGTATGTCATTGATGTCAGCTAAGGCTATACATCCTGTACATGTACTTGTAGAAATAATAATAATAATAATAATAATTATTATTATTATTATTATTATTATTATTATATAAGCCTTCCAGTGGGCAGTGGAGAATAACATGATATTCATTGGTGACACGTTCCAACTCCTTATACCTTTGATGATGAGTTTCGAGTTTCTTCTCCCGGAGCCCGGCCATGGGCCACGGTATATATAACGCAAGAGGACCACTAAATAGAACAAAAAGAACACGTGAAAGACCTGGAAAAAATAATGTCAACTGACCTTACTTTCAAAGAACACAGTAAGGCAACAAAACATTTAAATTACTGGGAATGTCTTAAAGTCCTTAATATGTATTTGCAGGAACAAAGGAGAGATACATAATACAGTATAATATGCAAGAATCGCGAATAACCTATACAAGATGCAAAATAACCACAGGAGGGGTTGACTGAAAGCTCTAGACCTCTCGGAATGCTCCCGCGTGCCTCTGAGCGAATCTGCTGAGATCTCTTATCCATTTCTGCAACAATCAAGCTCCTGATGTGATGATTGCACCACGAAAGACCTAGAGCTATTATTCAACTCCCCCTATGGTTTTGAATAATACAGTATATGTGGAAAGCATTTGAGGAACTGGTCCCTGATCTGCACACTGCCATAACAGAGTGAGAGATGTGGGAGAAAATGTAAAATAAACCCAGTAAAAAGCAGGGACGCCGTGGGCTCAATAAGAGAACATTGTATCAACATCCGAGAGTCCAGACTCTTAATAACTTTGATGTACCTTTGAGAGCTTTCGAGAGTTTTCCTACTCTGGTCTATGTTTCTCTGGTGTTTACCTGATCAACCAAGCTTTTACTGCCAGCAGCCCGCTGACCCACATATTCATCACTGCCTGGTTGATCTGGCACTTGGCAGAGGTACATGACCAATCTCCTCTTCAAAACTTCAAATTTTGTTCCAGCAATGTTTCTGATATCTTATGGAAGTGTGTTAAACAGTCTGGGCCCACGGAGGTTGATACAATGTTCTCTTATGGTGCCTATAGTGCCCTTGCCTAGTATAGGCCAGTAGGCCTGCTCCAGTGTTCCTCCTCTCTTATGTTCTTTTCCAAGCACTGGCGAGGGTTCAGGGTGCTCATAATAGTTTCCTAGGGTATGTCTGATACAGGCAGTTTTTTAATTTGTCTAAGTCATTTCTCTGACTGTTGATGATAAATTTATTGAATATCCCTACTCGTACACTATTTCTGGAATTTTCCACCCCTGAATTTACACTCGTTACGGGAACTCGTAATTGTTTCAACAGATCTAACTCCCTCATAGTCTAGCCTGATAAGATATACATACACAAACTAGTAAACCCTGAGACAATATTATCCATACCTTCCACAAACTATCTTCTAAAAACCACCCACTAGAGATTACTTACTAGAAGAAGGCAGTAGCTTCAAGCATGAAAATTTCCAAACCTACACCTAGTAATCCGGAAGGTCCTTTGAAAGAGAGTTAAAATTTACCAGGATCATAAACTAGAACGCAGACGAAGGTGAGGGAATATGCTGTTGCCAATTCCTCGGAGATGAATTATACAAGAGAATGAATATCAGGTACATAATAAATTAACCATGTTGGCCTTAATATTAAAGAAATGCAGGACTTTGCGTCTTTAGTCTTCAAAAAATTTTCTCGATTCCAAACAAATCTTTGTCGTTGAAGATATTTAATAAATATGAAGTTATTTAATAAATATGAAGTTATCAGTAATGGATATACTACCCAACTTTTTTCAATTCCCTTAATCTTGTATGTCTCATATTTACTTTAAGTTCTAATAAATTTCTGAGAAACTGGTCTCATTTGCAGGAGCCGTGAGTGATGTGTGTGGCTTACCTGTGTAGTGGAGAGTGACAGCTGAGAGATGCCTGCTGGTGGGAACATTGTGAACTCCTCACGGGGGCCATGGTTGATGGTAGTAGTGCTGCCCTCTACTCGTGACGACACTGAACTCAACTCCTGGAAACACAAAAATTCACCGTTAAAATAAAAGATTTATTTCAGGAAGTCTCATTATTCAGTTAAGTCTACAGAAGTTTTTACAGACAGTAATATAAATGTGTGCAATGATTTTGAGGCACACATGTTGTAGACCAAGTGTTTACAGTGAAGCATATAAGTGAACCGTATTTAGTTAAGGACAAAGAGGTTTTCGTTGCATTTATGGATTTGGAAAAGGCATATGATAGGGTGGATAGGGGAGTAATGTGGTAGATGTTACAAATGTATGGAATAGGTGGTAGGTTACTGAAAGCAGTTGTTTTCACGAAGAAGTAGGCCTTAGACAGGGATGCGTGATGTCACCATAGTTGTTCAATATATTTATAGATGGGATTGTAAGAGAAGTAAATGCTCGGGTGTTGGCAAGAGGAGCGAGACTAAAAGATAAAGAATTAACACAAAGTGGGAGTTGTGAAAGTTGCATTTTGCTGATGACACTGTGCTTTTGGGAGATTCTGAAGAGAAGTTGCAGAGGTTGGTGGACGAACTTGAAGGGTATGTAAAAGAAGGAAATCAAAAGTGAACATAGGAAAGAGTAAAGTGATGAGGATATGAAAAAAAATAGGTAATAAAAGACTGGATATCAGACTGAGGGGAGGGAGTATGGAGGAAGTGAATGTGTTCAGATATCTGGGAGTGGACTTGTCAGCAGATGGGTCTATGAAAGACGAAGTGTGTCAGCACGCCTCTGGCAAGACAGTGATGGAGTGAGTGATGATGAGTTTCTTTTTTTTCGGGTCACCCTACCTCGGTGGGAAGC